ATGCAGTGCTGCGGTCCTTGGCTTGTTTCCCACATGGACACTGTCTGCATGGAGTTTATATATTATCCCTGTGTATGTGCCTTTCCCCTAGGTAGTTCAAGGGCCGATTACAATCTAAAAACATACTGTGATGTCAATTTGTGTTTTCCCATAATTTCCCCTATTTTGTGCTTAGGTGGTAGGGACATTAGACTGTAAGGTCCTTCGGGGAGCAAGGACCAATGACAATGATTCGATTTACAAAAAGCACTGCATAAAAAAAAAGTGTACATAAGAAAAATAGATGTAATAAACCCAATGGCAATGATGTAGGACTCCATAAAAGGTATTCCAGTTTACCCAAGTGCCAGGCTCACAAAATAGAGACCTATTCTCTATTCTCAGACTTGAAATTCTGTCCATGTACCTAGTCACAAAAATAACAGTTATTGGCTGATGAAGCACTTTTATTGGATAGTAGGGAGGAGCATTCACAGTCTGAGATGCCAAGGCTTTTATCTTGTGTGTGCCCCACTTGGTAAAATTACATGACTGCTTGAGTGTAAAGCTGGGCACACACCTTACAACCACCGCAAGACTTTTGTCTTGCGATGGTTGTAGGGTAATTAAAAAAACGTACGATCTGCCTATCTTGGACAGGCAGATGGTACTTGCGATGATCGCAAGCCCGCCCCGCTGAGGGGCGGACTTCCGATGACCGCAATGCCGAACGGGCAGTGTGCGCTTGCGCACACCGGTCCGTCCGGCTTTTATCTTACGAACATGCTACACACCCGCCGAACCTCGTACGATTCTCGGCCGGTTTTCGAACATGTTCCTAAGATAAAAGTCGTGCGTCCTTACAGTAGTAGAGGTCGCACGGCTTCCACACACCTTACGATAATCGTACGATCGTGGGATTTCGTACGATTATCGCAAGGTGTGTGGGCACCTTAATGCTCCAAACTTGATAAACTCACAAAACAGATGATCTTTTACCAGCATCATGCCATGTAGTTTACATTTCTACATGCTGGGTGTAAATTCACTCATGTGCTAATCAATTTAATACATCCGCAGTAGACTAGCACACTTCTCTACCAACATCAGCCTAGGCTTATGTTTGACAACTTAGAACCCGTTTAGGAAAATGAAAGTGTACATAAACAAAAAAATTGTGTGTGTGTGTGTAAATGATATATATATATATAGATATATATATA